ACGAGTGAATCCACAGTGTTCAAGAGTTTTATCTACCGGAAATTATAGTAAAATAGGGGAACCCATTATGTATATTGATCAAAATAATAGTACAAACTGGGGCTACATTAGATTATTTTTTGTATTATTATTTTTTCATTATTCTATAAATATATGCGCGAATATTTTTAATATACGTTTATTTTTTTATTACGCTTAAAATCGATATAATTACCATTATTATTATTATAGAAATGAAATCTATTTTTTCAGAAGAATTTTTTATTCATCGTTTTACAAGTTGAAACATGATTTCTAAATTTTCAGATTAGGATTTTATATTATTTCGCTTCCTGAAGTACGTGATGAGATTTCTTAATCAATCCCATTCAACATTTACATAACATTACACCGTTAAACTTATAACTTAACTCGGTTTTCTTAAACAATATTAAAATATGTTTCAGAGTGCGTAAGCTTATTTAATCATTTACCAGAATCCGATTTTCTTAAATAAAATCATATGAAACTTAATTTATCATATCGCTTATAGAATGAATTATATTTATTCTCTAAGCGAAAATTAATAACTGTATCATTACTAAAAAGTATTCTATAGCATCGCCGTTCATGTTTTAAACTAATACTGGTTAATTATAATGATATTTAAAGTTTGAATATTAAAAAATAAATTCAGAAAACTATTTTACAAAAGTTAATATAAAAAATAAGAAGATTTAATAATTGAAAATAACGAAATAATTATAAAATATAAAAAGTAAGCTTTCATTCTTCAAATATCTATCAAAAGCAAAAGGGGCTCCATTGTACCAAGCTTTCGAAGTTCCTTTTTTACCTATAGCCTATATTTGTTAATGACAATTATCTGTTCGAATAACAGAGGCGGTTAAGACAACAAACAGCCTACCACTCACTCTGGGGAACCTAGGGTCGTATTCTGGCAATCAAAATTATAGGAATTTTTTTAGGGTGCTCTGTCCCGAATATGTCGGATCTCGTCCCTCACTTCCGGCTTTCCCTATTGTAGGGACCTGGACGAACTCACAACGGCTTTAAAAAAAGTACTTCTTAGTGTCCGTAGGGTGGAAAGAGTAAAAAAAAAAAAAGCAATGTAATTATTTTCAAATATAATTTAATTATAAATACGACGCTTCAACATTCTGTTTATTTGATACCATTTTTAATTCAGTCTTTTATTATACTATTATTTTATATGCTTAACATTCGTAAAAGACTATGACCAAACTATCTTTATATAGGCTATATATACATACATACATATATAAGAGATGTTTATCTATCGATACGTAATCATATTTCATAATCTTTAATAAACTGACTACTCTTTTATACAGTCTTAATTTATTCTAAAATATATTTCTTATATTCGATTTTTCCTTGTCTCTGATTCTATCGTAATCTTCGAATCTAAATAGAATTTTCAATCACATATCGCATCTCATCAGCTTTTCTCCCCCCCCTCTACCTTAAATTGTTTAGCTAATGCCATGCGTCATTGAAAAAAGGAATATAGATTTTGTAAATGCCAAATTAATTTATTTAAAAAAAGTATATAATAAAATATTAAAATATTGTTTTGGATTTCGTAAGCTCATACGATTCTAAAAAAAGCAAAATTTTATAGCGAAATATAAAAATCGAAGAGATTGAATTTGGCACATTTGTTTAAGCTTTCTTCCAAAGAATCGAATAGTAAAAATGTAAATGATGTAAGGACAGAACTGGCGAATCATAACCGTCAGCACTAAACTCGGAATCTAGTTCAATATGCTCGGCATAACTGAATATGTCCTATTCCCCATTTTAGGAAACGGTTATGTGATAAAATCTATTTTTCCAAAAATAACGTTCTTTCAACTTTACTAGCGATTTTATTACATTTTCTCTATACAAAAATTTTTAATTCTCAATCTTAATTAAATTCTCTTACAAGATTTTCTACAATTTGCTTCAAAAATTTCAGATTTTTTTTTTTTTTTTGAAATGACATATTAACATCGATTCCATTAGATTTTTATAGCAAACTACATTATAATATATCTGAAAAATTAATTCCAAGTTTATCAGATTTAAATTTTGTTATTTTATGTTGTATATAGATTCTAAATTAAGCATCCTCTATAGCCTATTTGTTATTCGATAAACTTGTTGTCGTCTATCGACGACATGATTAAAATTAGCATAATATATAATAGATGTTAAATTAATCTGCTAAGATATGTTTTCATCTAACTTTTTTATTCAAAATTATTAGTTTTCCCTATTCTATATTCAAGAGCGTATGATGACACCGGATAGAAAGGTAGAGGGGAAAGTCAAACACTTTCCCGAAATTTTTCACAAATAAAAACGCAAGTAACTTACCAAATTTTAATTTGACATCACTGATAATTTGTTAATCTCTTTGCCTTTTCTGTCTTTTTTCTTTTTTGCTCGAATTTGGTAAGTCAATTGCACCCCGCTCTTTCTGCTCGTACACGCATGCAATATACTTTTCTCGAGACATTTACCTGAATTTATTTTTATTATTTAAATACAGATACAATTGAATTTCGGTGAGAATTTTACAGCTTTTAAATATTTCATTTATAGTTGCTTTACTGGATAATATTAATACATTAATTTTACATTCGTACAAAGAATCTGAATCGAGTCCCGCTGATCCTTTTCCTTTTTTTCGCTTAGATCAGTTTTAATTTCTACTGTCAAATGACTTTCGTTAATATTTTAGAAATAAATATTTAACATATCCTGAAACCAAAAAGCATAAAACTATATTCAATATTCTTTGTTTTGTTCATTCAGATTCTGTGGCATTTAGTCACTTATTTAAAAATAGAACACGAATTTTAAAAATTACAGAAGATAATTAAGTTGCCGTTGTTTTTATATCAATCTCAAGCTGTTACATTATTATTATATTCTAGCTACAATTAATTGCAATGATTCTTCTATCGTGTATAATAAGAATTTAAATATATTAGCCTCTCTAGAATTATTAAAATTTTGCAAAAAATTTCGTAACTTAATTTTTAAATTACAGAATATTGAATTAATTATATTTTCAGAAGAATGTTAAAGACATGGTGCCATATTTTGCAGCTTATTTCTAATGAACGATATGCTGCAAAATAACGGATTCGTCTACCAATATCGCCGTCTCGCTTCAATTAAATCGAAAAAGAAATACATTTTAAATTAGAATTTTAGAAAAATAAATCATCCTTTTCAGTAATTCCCAGTTTTTTCTCCTTGTTTTAGTATTTTTCTGTTAGGGATTTTTTAATTACAAAAATCGATTCAACCTGTAGGGCCTGATTTTCAATACAGTCATAACTCGAATACATCAATAAATTAAAACAGCTACGTTCTATCTACTCGAATCGATGATTTATTTATTTCTGTGATTCTTAAATGATTAATATTTCCTAATTATTAGACTCATTATTATTCAATATCTTAGTGAAGTATTTTTATCATTTTGTTATAGTTATAGAATTAAATAATAAAAACAATAATTATATCTTGGAATAACCTTTTAATAATAGTGATCTATATGATTGTAAGAGTTGAAAAAGTTATAATTTTCTATAATAACAGTCATATTAGTGGTAAGAGCCTAGAGCAATGTAGATTTTTTTGTACTTCTGATATTTGTTTTATTATATGTAATAAATTTTACATTGTCATTTTTATATTTATTAAATAAACTAAAAAAATGCAAATGTTTAAAAAAAATTACTTAATATTTACATACAGATGCAAAGGGGGGGAATAATTAACTTACTCTCGAGTATATGTAAGTTTTATTCATTACAAAATTAATATCCATTTTAATTTTAAAAAGTTATTAGTGATTTAAATACCGGATGATTGTAATTAAAGTATATTCAACACTGTCTAGAGAGATATTTAGCGGTCCAAATGCAACCAAATATGATATGGAGACATTTCAGGACATGCGGAAGATATTTCCGTAAAAAATATAATTAATACCAATACTCGCAACTATGGCATTTTTGGCGCTGTAAGAAACGAAATAGCAGTTTCATTTGTGAGGCACTTAAAAAGTGTGGTTTATAGAAGGCATGCTGAAAATTTGGCAGCTTTGAAAGACTGTTACATTGCATGTGTGAAGCATCACAGAGGATCAATTTCACACACTGTATTCCGCTTTAAAGTTTTGCATCTTCAGAATGGGGATCACATCTCCTGCATAGGATAAGTGTCATGTAGAAATAAAATGTTTGTTGCTTGCAGTGCCAAAACTGCCATAATAGCGAGTTTTGGTGCTATATTTTTATGGAAATGTTCTGAAATGTCACTATACCAGATTTGGTTGCGTTTGAACTGCTAAATATCTTTGTAGACAGCGTTGAATACGTGTACTTTACGATCACCCGGTATAAGTTTTTAAAAAATCTTCAAATTTGTAGTTAATAATTTAATATTTATCCGTATAAATGACACTTTAATACTGATTAGAGTCTAAATTTTAAGTTCGACATTACATGAAATTATTATATTTGATCAAATGATTCTCTTCTTTCAAATAAAATCTCTGTTTATTTTTTAATTCAAAATCTAATATTGATATTGACATAAATAGCAATGAATATTTATTATATTTCAGTAAATAAGACAATTCTAATTAAAAATCCGTTTGCATTAAATAATGGACGAATTTAAATAGTCTGGTAGATTTTATAAAAGTCTTGAGGCTATTTAAAAGTATTGGTGGGAGAAAAAAAAAAGACAACATTCGAAATTGAACAAAGCCGGTGATTAAAATTATTAATTATAAGTTATTATTTGATGAAAGATTAAATATTAAAGGCTTTCGCCATCATCTATTCACATGCTTTGTAAAATATTTAAGAATGAATACTCGGCCACTCACTATTAACACGATTTCTCCCTCCGCCTTTGAATAATTTTAGCGTTTTATGTCTACACCTTTAAACTGCAGACGAACTTACCTATTTTGTAACTTGTCCTTGGGGACTTTTCCAGCTTTGATATACTCTTATAAATCTGAAACAGAATATTATTCATTCAAAAACATTCTCAATATTATAAATATACATATTAATTATTAATAACTTATTTAAGTTATTTAGATTTCATTTCATAACTAATTCTGATTTGAAAGTTTCAAGATTCTATTTTATAATAAATAAAATTTATTAAATTAATAACCGTAGTTCAGTTTAAAGAGATATAAAAATAGAGAAAAATTATTTAAATTTTATCTTTATTTGATTTGCGTGCGAATTATAATTATATATTTAGTATAATTGTTTCGCTCATAATCAAAATATAAGTTACAATTGCTGTAGTAAACGTTTGTGCCCAATATTTAAGCTTAAACATTTGTGATCCAGGGATTACATTAATATTTTAGATCACAGTTTTTCAAATTGAGACTCAGGAGCAACCATTTTAATTAAGACAATGTGTTCAAGTGTAGAGACTAAATCAAATTAATTGTTTATTAGATTATTTTGTATGATTCAGAAATAATTATAGTAAATATTTGAATGCTTTAAAGAAGGAATATAATAATTATTAGATAGTTTTGTATTGCAAATGTATTAATTTCATATTGTGTTTTAATATCATACAGTTATAATAACTTTTGTGTATTAGCATAGATATTCATAGAGAAGAAAGAATAAAGTTAATGTTTGCCAAATCGGCTGAGTAGTTATTTGGAAGCCAGCCCCACTTATGTCCGCCCGTGGACTGTTTGTTGTCAATTTTGTTCGCATTGTCTAACCGCGAATAATGGCCTATTGCACGTATCGCACCGCACGGCTATTTACTTAATCGCTACTTGAAATAGCCTACTTTTGCTGTCGCTAACTCGAACAGGAAACGTTTATTGTGTGCTCGGAAGCGTAAAGTGAAGGTAAGAGCGACAGTTAACGCCCACATGCGACTCTTGGAACATTTTTTAACGCAGAATAATTTAGAGTATAGAAGCGCTCCAACAAAATTGTTCGATATTAAAGAAAGGAATATGTAAATTTTTTCTAAAGAATACCAAAGAAATCTTATTGTAAAATGTATGAAAGGGATATTGAGAAAATGGATTTCGTGTTAAAGATACGAGATTGATGTTTTTAGATATAATAAATGGTTACGTTTCGAAAGATATCAACGTAAACAGCACGAATCGAATTTTTTTTTAATATATATTAAATAAACAGATGGTAAGAATATTGTAGTCTGTCTTGTCCATGAATATCCGGGAATTATGGAAAAGCATAGATTTAAAGTGCAGTTGTGTGTGTTGTCCCGTGTCGAACTAATAGCAATCTGTAATTACAGTCTAATTAGGGATATCGGTACTCGGCCGATACTGTGGACCGTTCCGCTACTACGGCCGACAATGCTTGCTCTGCCACACCCCCATTATTAGCTTCGGTAGCAGGTAAATAGTTGCACGCCAGAGCCGTTCCGAGGGACACGCTGAGTTAACACAATGCCACACTTCACCTAATGGTTCTGGGAGTGAGAACTGATACTTGCGCAACTAAAGCTAAGAATATGTTTTGTAAGAGTCTCGATATAAATTGCCCACCCTCTTTAAGGCGTTCTTTTCTATGGCTCTTCTATACTGACGTTAAATCTGATAATAATTTAAAGCTTGTTCTTGGTATAAATAATATACATTTTAAATTTTAGACAAGCTTATAATTTGAACAATTTTATAAATAAAAATTACTTTTAATTTCTAGATTTAATTTTATCATCATTAATTAATTAATGGTTTTTAAATCACAGATGTCCTCTTCTATACATTTTGTCAAAATCCGAAAATATCCATTTAAATTAAGTTTTGATGGAAATAAATTTTAGAAACAGACAACCTAAAGACAAAAAATAAATAAAAAATAAGATATTGTTTGTCTAGAAAATCGATTTAGAAAAGTCGACACTTAATCCGATTCGGATTAATTAGACGACGACCAAAAAATCCTGTGAAAGAGTAAAGGCACCTTTCAATGCTTTCATATCCAGAAAACAACGAAGGATATTGATAATAGGGTTAGTCTTTCATCAAATAAAGCTTAATTTCATTATCGTTTCTCCTATAAAAGTTTGTTGAATATCTAGAATTAATTCAAATTAAATTTTGGTTTTCGTGATGTTTAATCAAAAATGTATCGTTAAATCGTAAAAACGAGAAAAAGGATTAAACTTCATAAATAAATAAATAATATACATATAAAACAGTAATAATATTCATTCGATAAAAGAATGTTTAAATATTCTTTTTTTTATTGGTGATTTCATTTAAAACTATTCTTTCTATTTGAGCAAAAAAAATTGAAAATCCTTTCACAGTATAAATTCATATGAAACGTATCGGATGAACGAAGTTATTGACAAGCCAATTTTTACATATGGGGGATCAAAATCCATCAACACGAGTTTTCTTACAGAATGCAGTCTCATGAGTGCGTTGCAGGATTCTGTTGTTCCATTGGTTGTGAAATTTTTTGCAATTGTATCCACAGATAAAAACAAATATGAATAAAAATATTTTCGAGCATAGCGTGAGGAGCAATCTGATGTTTTCTAACAGATTCAAAAAAAATTTTTTTACATTCTCCGTTCATATTCCATTAAAAATTTGAAGATTTTTGTATCCATCTCCACAAACCTGTTTCTAATCTCATTTCACTGTCTGAAGCTTATCCATGACTATGAATTACTTAACATGCACTCTCTTCTTATACTTGTTTATTTTATTTAGTTATATTTTGTATTCAGAAAATTAAATAAATTTAAAATATAAACCTCTTAAAATTTTTAAGATACTATTAACCTCTGTCTTGTAAATATTTAAGTTTGTAGCAATCATCTAGCTCATAAGTTAGTTTCATTTTTATTTTAATTCTTCTTTTGTCTAGAACTTTTTTCTTTTAAAGTTTGTCTAGAAAGCAATTTATTTCTTTAATAGCGCTCGAAATGATCCATAACTTCTAGTTTTAAAAGGTGAATATTCTCTAACTTTACGAAATAGCCGAATGTTTAGAAATTGGATTATAATAAAGGTAGCTTATGCTCCATTTTAAAGATATTCTAAAGAAATTAGATCGAAGAGTATATAATAATTAATGCAAATTATGTGTTAACAAAGCTCTAGTTCTCAGCTATGAATTTCGATTTTGTTACAGAATAAGACATGTTGACTAAGTAAACACTTTTACTATGCCATCTTCCGATATTGGCTCCCCTATATAATAGTAAATATGCAAGAAAATAAAATGTAGATGATCCAATAAACCTATTTTTTATTCATAAATCTCTTCTATAAAGAATAAAAGGATTAGAAGGAAGTTTACGTAAGTATTTAAATTTTATTAATCAACAATTCGGTTCATAATATATTATTAGTTTCGTTTAAACTTATCAATTAATATAAATTTAATATCATAATAAGCTCATTTATATTTATAAGTCTTATTCATTCATGTTTGATAGAAATCTTTTTATTCGAAAGAGATGCTCTCATTCGATTAAAATTAGTAATTTATTTGTCGATTTTAAACGGTGAAAATTAAATTGTTATTAAAAATTTTTAGAAAGAGAGAAAAGTTTTTGGCCTCGTCAATCTGAAAAATTCATTATTTTGTTTTTATTTCAATAGAGAATCACAGATAAATGACTTATAATATCACAATGGATATGGTTCAGCAGTAACTTCGACTGAAAGAGATGGTCGGCTAATTCCAGAACTATCTCAATGTTAATCGATCGAAGAGTCCTTGAATTTAGCCATAAGAAATCTGTATGGTGCGCAATAGTTATTATATGCATTCGTGCATTCTACAGCGAACCAAAGACCTTTTCAAATTTGCATTAAACTCCAATTTTAAAAAATTGAAAAAAGTAAAAGGCGGTCGTTAAGCATTGCCATGACTGATTTATCTTAGGCGGGACAGCTTTATGCGAAATACTTCAAAAAAGACTGAAAGAGAGTTCCACTTCGAATACTAGGCTTGATTCAAAGTTTTTCAACTAAACTTTGGCTAATTTCTAACTTGGTCACTAACAAAAATCTATTATCTCAGCCTGATTTTTGAAAGAACAAACACACATTTTTTTTCCTTTCAGATTTTCTATTATTAATTTAAAAAATAATAATACTATTCAATTTTGAAGCATTAAAAGAATTATATTTAAAATATCGATTAAATGTTTTTTTTTCAAAAATAATAAATTAACTTTAGTTAGTCATCGATTAAAATTATTTTATCACCAAATTNTCGCAAAATAGTAAAGTTAGATATAAATTTCCATTAAAAATAGAACTTAGAAGTAAAATTTTAAAAAATCACTTTTTTTAGTTACATCTCAGGCTATAGATCAATAAGCTGATTGTCATTGTGCACTTAAAGAAAACTTTTAAAAATCAAATGTAATATCATGTAAGTGAATACAGTTAATTTCAAGTAAGAAACATCGTATCCTCCAATTCCATTACTGTTTATTTCTAAGTCGAGAGATCAAGTGGAATTGACAGTCGACTTCATATCAATCAATGTTTGATGATGTTTTTAAGCTATGGGATGTACCCGCATCACAATTATAAATAAGTCATCCTGTGTCTCTAATGGCTAATGCTTGGGCTTAAGGCTCGGAATATTGATCCGAGATTAGATATTAGGAAAAGCACTCGGGATCAGGAAAAAAAAACTTTTTATATAGTTGTATAAATTCATTGTAGTTACGATAAATCTACCTTCTTTTCTATCAGTGCAGACTTAAATTAATAAGGAAGTCAATCTAACTGCTTAGAGCTTCGTCTTTCCGACAAAAAAAAAGAATACAGGCTCTTATATAAAGATAATTGAAAGGAATAGAACATCGATATATTATATTATATTAAAATGTTAATAGTAATATTTATTTCAGTTTTTAAATGTTATCAACTTATAAAAGATAATTATTAACAGTTTCTACGTTCTGGGAATTAGTCATTTATTTGGTTTGTAATTGGAATTTGAAAAAAATCATCA